CTACGACTCAAGAAATAGTAGATTTTCAGCAAACCTAGAAGACATGTTTTCTTGCTTCATCACCAGATCGTATATATTACAAAGTGATGAGCTTTGGAAAGAACATCTCGTTTTTCAATCACTTGCCAGTTAGAGAACAACATGCAATACTTGAAAAATCGTTCTATGTCTTCAAAAGATCTGTGCATAAATCTCTATATCTTCCGTCGTTTTGTATTTAGCCGAGAAAGTTTATAACAAACTGTTTCATAGGACATTTTTCTATACTTTATTGGAATGTTCGGATGTTTCAAAGAGATAGCACGTATTTCGAAAGGGACATACCATTCAATCATTCAAGATAGGGTATGGGCAAAAGGAGATCCTTATCCATGTCCTAAATTGCGCAAGACATTACTGTGTAACACATAGTTGATCTCCGTTTGAAGAAAAAAATCAACTTTTTTCTCTCACTTATTAAACCTTGATAATGTGGGGTGTAGGTACATGTACAATGTAGTTTTGTCAACTTTCTCAGTATATATAGATGAAAGAGAATCACTCCAAATAGCACCATTATTAAATAAATATTCCAGTAATTTTATTGACGAACAATTTCAACAAGAACTAAATAAATTCGAAATTAATTAACTATTTATCTTTTAAAATTAGAATTTATCACGAGAGAAAATGAGGAACTGCCCATTCAAACAAAAGATACTGGTCGATTTATAACAAAATAACGTTCGTTCATTTTATTTACAATATTCAACTTGTTGCGCCACCTGCATATATCGAATGATTTATATTGTTTATTGGTTAGATAAACATAATTTTGAACGAAAGAAATCTAATGGTTTAAATCATTCAAATTCATAAAAATGTCGAAATTAACCAGTACCCGTTCTGTTCGATCGATATATCCAGGTCTTTTATTACTTATTGATTATGGTTTAAGTGAAAAAACTATTCATGGTGTTTGTCATGGACTTGATCAACTGTTTAGTATCATCACGACATATGTTGGCGTACAACGCATACCAAAGTTTGGACTTATTGTTAATGGACAACATCAAAGTGAAGTATGTACTTAGGCCATATCAAAAATAGTGACAGAAATATGCTAGTTTCGTATAAAAATTTAAAACAAAATGTCCTTGCTATATAGTCCGCTGGTAAAAATAATCCTTTACATTTCTCTGATATTGTGATTATTTCGCTTCTTTATGCAAAGAATTCATGAACTTGTTTATAATATGTATAAATAGCTAGGTATTAGAGGAGACGAGAAACAAAAAAAGAAGAAGATACATATTGAAGATAAAATGTGATCGAATATTTTCGTTAAATATCATAACAATTCGCTCTTATCGAAATTTTATTATTATAATATTATTTGAAGAATGATCAAAATATTGGAGAAATGCAGAGCATTGTTTTTACTATCTGATCATATAGAAAGAATGGTTCTTTAAGCTTTTTATAAAGACTTAAAACACCTACGTCACAACTTTTGATATGTCTTAAGTACGTTTTTTTCTCAATTTGATAATTACTCTAGATTTTTATACCACTGTCATTAACACGCAATAATCATATGGAATTACAAGTAGCATTGTGCAAATTACAACTACTTGCTCAAAAATGGTCAATAAAATCAAACGGACTTAGTATTTCATCAATATCATGGCAATCTGCTTTACAATTAGCTTACATTGAAATCAATTCAGTTGTTCAGAATAATAATGGAAATCAAGTGAGTTTAATTTTGATTGTAACCTCTTCTTTGTTATTATTGCTGTCATTTCTTTCGAGTCAAATATAATATAGATCAATCATTTATCAAATAAAAGGTCAATGGAGATAAGAATTAATAATCTTGAATTATAAATCAGGCCAGTAGAAACTTTGGATAAAATAGATATGTATATATTCCACACGAATAATGTAAAAAAAAAGAGACAAAGATAAGTGAAATGGCAAATGCAACTATCAAAATAAAAACAAAATTAGCTACAATAATAATCAGCCAAAAAAACACGATATGGAGATCACTGAATACCACTTTTTAAAAGTTTTTATCTAGTGAGAAAACCTCTTCACATGCTAAATCGCATTTCAACTAAGATAATGTTTATATGATAAGTAATAGAAAAATCTAAAATAGTTTGGTTTTCTAGGTCTTTGTTCTTGAAATATCGAGATTTTACTGAGTTTGTCAATAAAAATTTGTGACGACGTAAAAAATCAACTTTCAAGTTTCGACTTCAAACTTTATATGACCAAAGTTCTCAATGAGCTTAGATTATTGGGAACAAGTTGTAAATTTTTTAGTATCTTCAATCTTGAAATATTCAATATTCGAAATTTTCTCATGTATAAAAGCAAACTTTGTTCATATATTCACATCTCCAGATAGGATATACTAGTTGCACAATCAACTAATCTCATTAAGAATTTTGTTCGTACAAACTTTAAAATAGAAAATCTATTTTAGACGTGACCGCAGCATTTTGTTGAAAAATTCAGTAGAATTTCGATATCTCAAGAACGAAAGCCTTGAGAATCAAACCATTTTAGACTTTTCTATTACTCATCAAATAAATATTGTCTCGGTCGAAAAGTGATTTGACACCCGGAGAAGTTTCCTAGTAAGTTTTTAGAATATCGTCATCTCTATAATACTATTCAATTTTGCCTAAGGACTTTCATGGATTATATTGTTGTCGACATCCAATGAATTGTCTAAAAAGGATGTTATGTGATGAGTTCTTTCCAATGCCTTCAATGTGTTGAACATAACAGAAATGATTTTCAATCATTTTGTCATCTTGTATCAAAGATAGACTAATTCAATACTAACGAGGGAAGGTCACCAACTGTTCAATCGCTTTTGAGTCGGACCTATGTGCATCATGTAGGTCCTAATGAGCTATGAATACCCTGAAAAGAGTTCGGGCGGATAGCTTATTACTGTCAAGATACTGCATTTTTACGATATTTTTAAGCAAAATGCCGTGGTCCTCCTCAGGAACACCAGCAAAACTGAGTTTTGAATTTCGACTTGAAATTTGGCACAGAAACAGATATCAGTGGGAGTAGCTTATTGTGAAAGTTTCAGATCTTTTGGTTGCTCCCATTCGTCAATAAGAATATTGGAACCCGTCGGGGGTATACGAGCAGTGTAAAAACACCTTTTTTTAGCTGTATCTTAGGATAGAAACAACCAAAAGACCTGAAACTTTCACAATAAACTACTCTCACTGAGGCCTGTTTCTGTGCAAGGTTTCAAGTCAAAACTCGAAACTCAGTTTTTCTGATTCCTGAGGGGGACCACAGCATTGTGCTTAATTAAAAATACCACAAAAATGCAGTATCTTGACAGTAATAAGCTATCCGCCCGAACTCTTTTCAGGGTATTCATAGCTCATTAGGACCTACATGATGCACATAGTTCCGACTCAAAAGCGATTGAACAGTTGGTGACCTTCCCTCGTAAGTTGAAGTTAACTCTTGCTTAGCACAGTTGAGAAAAATTGATAA